TTGACTTCTCCGAAAAATGGGAGTTAATCAGGTGACGAGGTACATAGCTTTTCCGACACCTCCTACACCAGCGATTATAGCTTAGTGGTAAAGAGCAGACTAGGTTTCCTCCTGCGTCGAGATCGTGGGTTCGATCCCCCGTTTTAATTTTGGACTTTCTGCGCCTGGAAGAATTTTTAATTTAGTTTCTCCATCACTAAATTCGAACTGCTTGACTTAAAAGTCACGCTTTATTTTTTCGCCTACGGGTGGGGTGTTTATTGAATTTTAACGTCTTTCTTTTTATTTTTCGAATGACCATTGGCACGTGTTTTAGATCTACTGGTAAAAAAAAGTCAAAAGTCACAAACTCAGTTTTGTGTTAATTGAATTTCGCGAAAGCAAATTACAGCCCAATTTAATTCAATATTTCTAAATTTTATTCTCTGATTAACTGATAGAGTCATATAATCATAGTTTTCAGACTGTATTAGTTATTTAATTATGCTGATATTAGTTTTTTCATGTTCAATAAATATACTACTTAAGACTTTGCGCCTTTATGATATTTCTTATTTATGAAATTACACTGTTGCTTTGTAATGTAGTAATCTTTATTCTTTATTAATACTTTTTACTCATATTGGTTTGATATTCATGATGTTATTGTCTATTTATTCATTAATAAAGGTTTTGATTCAAAGCACAGTAGTTACTTATGTTTTTTGAAACATGGTTTTTTTATTATTTCAAGATTTAAATGCACAAATAGGAGTGCCATAAAGTGAAATTTAAGAATAAATAAATAAACTAAAAAAGAAGTAATCTGTGTACTCAGTACACAAAAGAAGAGTTTTTTTTTTTTTTTTTTATTTTCCTGCAAACTGAATTTAGCAAAAAATCAAAATCACGCGGCATCATCCGTAAATACTTTCCGAATTGTATTCTGTCTGCAATACGCAACTCCCGAAGCAGGGAATTACGAAGGCACTATGAATTTCTCGTCGTTTGACCCAATTTCTGGTCCAAACGCATTTTTTCCCCTTCTGTAGCAGTAGCTAAGTTCAAAATTGTAGCTGTATCTATAGTAGCAATTTAAAATAGTCATCCATTATTTTGACTATTTGACAACACCGTAAGCTTTGTTTACAAATCGTAGACAGTGTGACGCTGTAGAGGGCGGGAACACTTCCTTTCATAGTGATTGGCTGAGTGAATTCCTGTACCAACGAGAAAATCGTTCCGTGTGGACAGGCGAGCTATCTCAGATATTGTCGGCCAGATAAGTCGGCCGAGAAAATCGCTACGTGTAGATGGGCCTTTACAGCTTACTAATGCAGAGTATGTTTCCTTTATATATATATATATATATATATATATATATATTAGAACCCCGTGAGTGTCAAGTGTTTTTAGCCCAATTGACGTTCTTGATCGGATACATTTGGAAAATATTCTTTACCTAGCATCATATCAAATCAGACTAGTCATTGTTACTTCATTTACCGTACTTTCAGGGGTGGAGAATGGTAGTGATTAAAGTGAAGTTTTGCCAAATATTCTATGTGTATATACAAAGATGTTTGTGTATATATGTGTATATGTAGACTCTAAATATATATAGAAAGAGATTATATTATAGATTATACATCAAAATTTAAAAAATATTTAATTAAAAACTGTTTCGTAACTGTAAAAATCGTCGTTTATTCTATTATTTTGCAGATAGAGATTCGGGAGGGCGCTGCGATCACGAAAGCTGGAAGCAGTGTCTAAACATAGCTCCGAAATTTTTTAAATAACTGTTTCAGTAAATATTTTCAACTCTCTAAAAAAGTTTAATTCACCTTTCCTATGCAATGTCTCATTCATCAAATTGAAAAAAGGAAACTTCGCTTCTTCGAAACTTCAGATGTTTTGTTAGCTGCTTACTATCAACACGAGAAATCCAAAAGAGGCCCTGACACGGAATATTCAGATAAGTAACATTCTGTTCTTTATACAATATATGTTTTTCTATCACTAGAGTGCAATTAAATTTCTTTATTTATTATTTTTCATAAGATTCTAGCATTATACAATAGTTAGTAATAGTAGCAAGTCATGTGGTTCTTTTCTTCGTAACTATTCCGTAGAGACGCCACATTCCTTATCAGTAGTCCGTTCTTATCAGCAATTCACACCCTTCGGAGGCCCCCCTCTTCGTGCTTAGGAATTTCTTGAGAGGGAAAAAATGGGGATCTCTTGACCATCGATGAGTATAGATTGTGATTTTTGTAACTAAGATCCCCGACCTTTTTTTTTTCAGGTATCAAACTTGGAATTATGATCAAATATAAATACAGGGTGACGGAATTTATTAAACTTGTACTATAATAAATTACAACTGTTAAATTAATAAATTAACTTTTATATTTAACTAATATTTAAGAAAAATAAACTGTATAATTTATTTTTGTTGATATGCTCTCACACTGTGTATGGATTTATGATTTTGTCAATTACTGTTTTTTGAAATATACATGAATTTTTTGGGAACGGCAATAGTTAATGTTACTTTAGTTAAAATATTATGTACATCTCTGTGATGATATATGTCTTTTCTAGTTAGGTCTCAAGATTAGGGCATACACATTACCATGTAGGAATTCATTCATTTATTATTTGTTTTTATTAAACTTAGCGAAAGTTTGCTTCTTAAAGACACTAATTTTTGCAGATGAACTCCTTAACTACACTCATGGACACAATCGTATTTTAGGATATTTTCTACTTCTTTTCCTTTTCTTTCTTTAGGCCCTTTTTCTTTTTTTCCCTCTATTATTTCTGGGCCATTTATATTAAATTTTATTTTGTCCCATCTTTTCTTTCTGGCGTTTTGAACTCTTAAAAAATGTACGAAGTTTCTTTTTACTCTCCTCAAATACGAAATTGCCCCCCTTTCTATATACCTTTCCTTCGCACCTATGCTTGATTTTTCGCCCATCGGTGCAAAACAAGACATCTGTCTACTTTGTCTGTCTGATGCAGATAGATAAATATCAAGCACTTTTCGTCTCTTAGGAAAAAATCTTTTCTAGTTAATCACTATTATATCCAACAGTGACACAATAGAAAAAAAAAAGGGGGGGGACATCGAGATTCAGCAAATGGGAGGTGGTTAACTATAATTTTAAAAAAATATGCCACAAACATGATGAGTTAACTATTAATCTTCAGAATTAGACGCATATTTGAGTCTAGGTCCATTCGTTGAAAATATTTCCTTGGTGAAGTTAGTTATTTCAACCAGCATATTTCTGCACCTATAATAAAACTTTTCACATTCCATGACACTTTTATGTCTCAATACTTATATTTCTTTCTCTATTATGTGCTGTTCATAATACAAAGTATTCTTTCAATGGATGGGCTACTTTCTGGAATATAAAGGAATAAATTTTTACTATATTAGAAAAGTCTCGATATATTTATATTAAAAAAAAATCCCTACTCATGAGTTTGATACAGAAATTTTCTTGTTATTCCACTCAACTTCCTTATAATTTTTATGAAACTTTACTGAAGGAATTGCCTTCTGCTTCTGTATCAAATTATCTTCTGTTTCGGAAAATGTGATGAATTTTCCAAACAGGTTGTCTTGCAGGTTTTTTTTTCATTCAGTTACCTTCCTCAACAGAATTCACTTGAGTTACTCGAACATTTCAGTATTTCTTGCACTTCATAGCTTATTCATTTCTCAAAAGTCAGCTAAAACCTTTAGTTGTTTTTTGGCTTAGGATTGTGGCAAAGTTGGCAAGGGCTATTTGCCTAAAGTGACAGACAGATACATTCGTGAAAGATTTTTTAAAAAGAAACTGGCTCTTAATCACGTTACTACGAAACCTTTTCTTCTGGTACTATTTTGTTTCATTTAAAATATTAAAACGCATAGTTAAATTTAAATATACACACTCGGGTTGAATGATGTAATCGCGAGAATACTCGGTCCCCAAACTCTGTCGAAACTTATCGTAAAATTTCTAATTATTCACAAATCTGAATAATTTAGGTATATAATGCTAAATTTCAAAATTAGTACATTACTATAGTTGTTTATTAGAATGATAATACTTTACAGAATTCGAAGGAATGAAAAGCTGAAGTTAGTTACACACTATTAGAGATATAGTTAGACACACTAGTAAGGAAAGCCCTTGAGAAGAAATAACATGATACAGAAAGAATGAGCACATAAGGTAATTAGGATCAGAATAGGTTATAGAAAATTGCATTAATACAGAAAAATAAAAGTCAAATATTTACACGACAATGCATATGTATTAGTTTATTAAGAATGGCCCTTTATCTCAGCTGGATTCGAACTCACAGCTTACGGTCCACCAAAGTATTAGCACTTCTGTAAATCCTTCAAGCGATCGAGCTAGCAAGAACTTAAATTTAAACAGTGATTATGGCAGCCGCTGAGCCTGGAAAGTGGTTAGAGATTCTGACTGCCGTTCTGAAGAGCCCGAGTTCGAATCCCAGAAAAAGGCATGGATGGAAATTGTCTGTCCCTTCATAGGAGGCAGCAGTGGCTAACCTTTAAAGTGTCTCTATAATAACTGACCATTTCTTTCGCCACCAGCAAGATAAAGAACATGGGTAACTTTAATTATTTCTCATATCCTTTAACTATACTAATATTTGATAAATCAGATTACTTAAAATAAAAAAGAAAGAAAAACTGATATTATATTATACATGGAGTTCATACCGCGATTTCATGGACGACATTACTGTTTTAGAGAGTGTAGACTTGACGCAGAGAAAAATTACATCTTCAAAATTTTTACCTTTCAAATTCTTTTCCCTTTTCTACATAAGCCGGTGTTATGATATAATATAAATGAAAATCCTGACATTTTGAAATTAGTAATGTAGAGACAGATTAAGTTATCATTGCGAGATAGATCACAAACATTCAGTATATTATCAGTACGCTTGTCAACCGTGATATCACATACATGATTGAAGTGACAACACAACACAACTGTCACCTATTTTTGTGGAAAAAGTTGGCGGTCCTGGAAGTATGTAAAATGGGAACGTTATCTTAACGCAAATGAGGTGTTTTTGTTTACATATTGGTTAACTAATCCGTTATAGAAATATTTTTACCTCTGAGCCATGTGCTGTTTTTAATGTGAACCAAACTACCGTGTAATAAAAATGAAGGTGATTTGAGGACGAACGTCTCTTGTGATAGTGAGTATTCAAGATTCGATGAAGTGGGGACGCCATGTTTTTCTGTTTTACCATCGGTTTTTATTTTTCACGATGAATTGGAAAATGCTGTGGTGATTGAAAGCTGTGATTACTTTTGCAGCTTTCTGTTAATTATAAAGTCATTCGAAACCTTTCTTTTTTAGAATCTTGTGTAGCTTGAAGCAATCGGTGGTTTTGTATGGCCGTAGCAGTCGAAACGTATTGCTTAACTTAATAACTGCTTATATTAATAATTTCTGCAGTGCGACAGGAAACACCAGATAATTGTCATCGAAAATACTTAAGTAAGATTTTATTTTTATAGATATATCATGTATTTGCAAATTGATATTTTACAAATTCATTAAATATGTAAAATTTTATTAAGAAATTTAGTGGTTGTAATTGAGATATCTTTTGAAAAGAAATCTCTACTGTAATAAAATGCTATGCATTAAAACACAGGAACTAAAATCAATATTCTAAAACTAAGTTTTTTTTTCGTAAGGAAAGTCTGAAACAGAATATGCTCACATGTTGAATTTCAAACAGCTATGATCTCAAAATAATATTTGAATTTAGAATATCTCTTTGATTTATTTATGTTTTTATGACGACTAAGCGGTCTATATTTAATAAATATATAGTACATAGGAGATGTACATGGTAATTATAAAATTTTTCTTACCAGTAGGCTTAGGTAATAACGTAATTAGTTAACACTAGAAGGAAAGTTCCGTAGTAGTTAATGGTAGAACTGCTACTGATTAATTTTTATTTGACTATGGCAAAGGAAAAAATAATGCTTCATTGTAAATTGAAAAATTTTTATCAATACGTAATGAACATCATGCATATAGCCTGTTAATTCACCTGTATGTGTGCTCTGCATTTTTTTTTTTTTTTTTTTTTTGGTGGTACTTGATGGTATTTTTATGTCCTGCTCTAAAAAAAAAAAAAAAAAAAAAAAAAAAAAAAGAAGAGTTGGATATTATCTGAAATAAACAACACAATTATTATGTAAATGTTATAATTCAGTTTTTCAACAGTTTTGCCATGGTTTAATGTTTTCCTTGACAAATTTCATCTGAAGTACTTTAATGACTTTTGTGTAAGTCTTGGCCACATGATTGGAAAAGACATCAATTTGAACCTATTCCAGTATTTCAGAGATTGTTTTTTATTATTACATTTGAATTCATTGGCAAATAATTTAATTAGATAAACCCTTGCTAAATTTGCTAAACATCATGAATGCATTGCATGTACAGCATGCAGAAGTGCATTTTACAAAGTTAACTTTCTGTGGAAAAAATAAGTAAAAAATAATAATCTGAATTAGGTATAATTCAGATTGAGGTAATTTGTATGCTATAAATATTGTAGTTAAAAGTTAGTTATTAGTGAAAAGAAAAAAATGAAATGGTAAAAGTATATTTTAGGGTACCCCTTGGTGGTGCATGGATATTGAGTTTGTGGAATTCCTTGACTTATAATTTTGGCTTGCATAATGGCGATTTTTGCACAAAAAATCGAAAAAATCGCCGTTAGACAAAGCCAAAATAACAACACAAAGAATTGCACAAACTCGGTATTCATGTACAATTACCTATTTACATCAACATCAACCTATTTTCACTTAAAAAAAAATCCCTGAATTTTAAAAAAATGGCATTGCGCACTATCCTGACTCGTTAATCTTCGGATTATGGTAACTTGGCGATTTTTGGGCGACCAACCCTGCTACAGCAACCTGCTAGTTCTTTTTTTTTTTTTTTGACGGCATTTTGTTTTCACGAAGTAAAGGCACGTTTTTTTTTTTACTCAACATTTTTTTCCAACAATCTGCTAGCCGAATTACACTTATGCTAGAACTTTTATGGAACAAAAGTGCTTAATCATGACGAAGATTAGGTGCGAAATTGGGAGAAAGTGCAGAATCGCCCACTGCTTGCTGCGTTTTATAGAAGTGCACATACACGGTATCATCCATGTACACTTCGACCTATTTTCACTTAAATAAACATCCCAGAATTGCACAAAAATGGCTATTCATGTACACTGCTAGTCCTAGCTAGTAACCTTTATCGCTTTACCAAAATGTTGCCAAATTACCTGTTACCATATTCCAAAGATTAGCCTCTTGACTTTATCCATATTCACTTGGAAAAAATCCAAGAATTGCACCAGCTTGCATTGCGAACTCCCTTCACTTTGTCCATGTACACATGGGTATATTTTCACTTAAAAGGTCAAAGGAGCACCCGATTCTACAATCCAGGCAATCACAAAATACATAATCTCAATAAACTACATTTTAAATCAAACAATATAAAATAACATAAAAAAGGAAAAACATGTTATACATTTAAGCATTACAAAAAGCGGGTTTTCATCCGCAGAGAACCCATTGGCGCTTCGGGAAAGAACCCGTTGGCGCCGTTGCAGTTTTTACTCGTCAAGGGATGAGCCGAGCCGTAAACGTGATTTTTAGTGCATGTAAATTCAAATTAGCAGACAAAACAAAATATTAAGCATATGGTAGTAAAAATTCACAGATAATAAGCATGTAGATGTAAAACTAATATGAAATAAAGCTGTATTTTTCATAATATATTTCACAATACAAATAACCTTCAACAGTAATCTAATTTTCTTCAGTAGCATTGTTAACAAAACTAGAACTTTATACATTTTATTATTTTTCAAGAGTAATTTGAACTGTATTCCGTACACTAGTAGTGGTTTGCTAATTTTGATGACCATGGGGATGCATCAAACTACTCTGTCATCTTAGATAATCAATATTTTTTATTTCAATTTAATCAGCTATTTATGTCACACCTGCCATCCTCGGAAAGGTTATTGTTAGAAAAGCATTAACAATATAGTATCTTATTAAAATTATAGGCTGATCTTTGGAATATGGTAACTGGTAGTTTGGCGATATTTTGGAGGCGATAAAGGTTACTACCTAGGACTTTGGTAATAATGTGAGAAGTACTCAGTTCCGATTACGCATTATTTTGTGTGAGGGAAATGAGAGATCATGAGATATGTCATGTGACATTAATGGACGAATTACAGTTCTTTAATCGGAAAAGGGGGGAAATCTGGAAAAAATCTGGAAATTTTGTATTTAACTTTATTCTGTGTTGTGTGAAACAGTGTTGGTTAATTTTTGGATCCCATGGCCCTAACTAAAGTGAATTCAAACTGGGTATTTAGTGGGATTGAAAGGGGTAGTAATAAGTGTTTTTTTAAGGTTGTGCGAGATTAGAAGATGTTTTATTAAGTTATTTATTTTATATGGTACTTTGCTGTGAACTATAAGTATGATTTTAAAGATCCTGAAACAGGCGCACATATGCTTGCTTTTTATTTAGTGGAGGAAATAAGAAAAGTTTATCGGCCACGTAATCAAGATTCTGAAGAAGATTAGGTAAGTTAGTATTTTTAATTATTTGAGGATATTATTTTTATGCATTGTTCTAAATGTAAGGAGTAAATAAAGTAATATGATATTATTGGAAAATTATTATTAGCAATGATTTAGTTTAAAGTAATTAGGATTGTAAGCTAATTTTTATTAATTTAATATATGTGCTTATTTATTATTTTAAGTAGTGTTTTTGAATTTTATTATATTTTAATTAAATGATAGTTATTTTGTGAATTATATGTTTGTAGGAATTTGGTATACGTTTCAGTGGAAGTAAACGTGCATGGAAATAATTTAAATATTTGACACTAAGTATTTGTAACCATTTGTAATGTTTGCGGTATGAATTCATTGGTGACGTTTATAATATAATAGATAATTTAGAGGTAAAAGTTTTTGGATATTTTATTTATTTTTTACGTGGAAATGTTCATCTTTGGAAAGGGTATATACTTTTTCGCTATCAGGTAATTTCATATATGTTCTTTTTACCAAATTTTAAGATTCACAAAATTTTCATGCATTTTCGTGAAATTTTTCTAATTTATGAGAAAAAAGCAGTGTACATGGATATAGTGAAGAGTGTGCACAATGCCATTTTTGTGCAATTCTGGAATGTTTTTTTAAGTAAAAATAAGTTGACGTGTACATGGTTTAGCAATATTTTAATTTAATGATAGTTATTTTGTGATTTTTAATTTTTGTAGGAATTTGGCATACGTTTCAGTTGAAGTAAACATGCATGGAAATAATTTAAATGTTTGACACTAAGTATTTGTAACCATTTGTAATGTTTGCGGTATGAATTCTTTGGTGACGTTTATAATATAATAGATAATTTAGAGGTAAAAGTTTTTGGATATTTATTTATTTTATACGTGGAAATGTTCATCCTTGGAAAGGGTATATACTTTTTCGCGATCAGGTAATTTCATATATGTGCTTTTTACCGAGTTTAAAGATTCACAGAATTTTTTTGCATTTTCATGCGAATTTTGGTTGATCTTTACAATATGGTAATTGGTAGTTTGGCGACATTTTGGAGGCGATAAAGGTTACTACCTGGGACTTTGGTAATAATGTGAGCAGTACTCAGTTCCGATTACGCATTATTTTGTGTGAGGGAAATGAGAGATCATGGGATATGTCATGTGATATTAATGGACGAATTACGGTTCTTTAATCGGAAAAGGGGGGAAATCGGGAAAAAATCTGGAAATTTTGTAGTGTTCAGTAGATAAAAAGAAAAGAAACATGTTTTTACTTCGTGAAGACAAAATGGCGGCGGGAAAAAAAAATAGAGGGTTGCTGTAGAAGAGTTGGTCGCCAAATTTTCGCCAAAAAAACACCAAGTTACCATAATGTAAAGATCAACCCAAATTTTTGTAATTTATGAGAAAATAGCAGTGTAGAAGGATAAAGTTAAGAGTGTGTCCAATGCCATTTTTGTTCCATTCTGGGATGTTTTTTTAAGTAAAAATAAGTCGAAGTGTAAATGGTTTATGTGTATGTGCTATTCTGAAAAATGCGCAAGGAGTTTGCGATTGTGCACTTTTTC